ACAACCATAATTCAATGTTTAAACTTCTAGATAGCTGCAACGAAATAATAAGAACAGTGAAGGTATTGGGTTACCAAATCGATCATTTATCTGAGGTATTTTTCGTCAAGATCATACAAGATAAGCTTGATAAAACCACAAGAAAACAATGGGAATTGCAGAACAACCCAAAAGTTGTGCCTTCAATTAAGGATTTAATGGAATTTTTGGAAATTCACGCAAAAGGCTTGCAGAATTTACCAAATAAAGATTCAAATGTAGAGAAACATTCAATGAAAAAGGAATTACAAAGGTGAATGTTTATAATTCATATATGATAAAATGTCTTAAATGTGAAGGTGCACATGCTCTTTCAAGCTGTGTAATTTATTTTCTAAAATACCTGAGTCAGAGAGAGTCAATTTTGTTAGTTCGGCTAAATTGTGTTTAAGATGTTTAAAGCCAAACCATTTAGCAAAGAATTGTTATTGCAAAAACATTTGTCAAATTTGCAAGAAAAGACACCACACTTTGATTCACCAAGAAACCAAGGTTCAAGAAGTTGATGAAGGGAAATTTGAGTGTGAAAAAGACATCAAAAATACAACTTGTCTTTTAAGTAATGAGAAATATTTTTCAAATGTCATGCTTACAACCGCTAGGATTAAAATCAAGGATAACAATGGTGTGCCTCAGACATGTAGAGCCTTGATAGACTCAGGGTCTCAGGCGAACTTTATATCAGGACAATGTAGAAAAAGACTAGGACTTAAATATGTTACCTTACACTCGCAAATATCGGGAATATCGGGACATTTTGCGAGTCACTCTTATGGACTTGTGGAGTTTGAATTTACGCCACATTTCAAATCCGATGAACTTTTCAAGGTGAACGCCTTGGTGTTGGATAAGTTGACAAATAATTTGCCAACTCTTACATGTCTAAAGTCAAACTTGGCGCATCTCAAAACCATGCCTCTGGCTGATCCAGATTATAATATTTCTGCTCCCATCGACATATTAATTGGTGCTGAGTTAGCTATGACCCTGTTCACTGGCGAGTCCGTTATCGGCGATGAAGAACAACTAACTGCTACTTCTTCTGAATTAGGATGGCTCCTTTCTGGAAGAGTTTCCTCTAAGGGTAGTAGAAGTATTAGGGATATCATTCAGTCACATCATGCATGCCTGGAAACCCAAAATATAGTCGAAAAATTTGGAAATTGGAATCCATTCCTGATGTGACTTCTATATCTAAGGATGAAAATGAAAGTGAAATCCATTTTGTGGAAACACATGGAAGGGATTCCACAGGCAGATATATTATACAACTGCCATTTCGGAATGACTGCCAATTAGGAGATTCAAGACCCAATGCGATCAAAAGACTTTGTTCTTTGGAAAGATCTTTGATTCCACGACCAGAGGTTTATGACCAATATAGAAGCTTCATTATGGAATATCTTGAATTGGGGACATATGAGCTTAGTACCAAAGGAAGATATCATTAAGGGAAGGTACTATCTTCCTCATAATCCTGTAATAAAGGAAAATAGTTGCACCACCAAATTGCGAGTAGTATTTGACGCATCAGCAAAAAAGACTGATTCAGGTTTGTCCTTGAATGATGCTTTAATTCCAGGACCCAAAATTCAACAGGATTTGTTTCACATCATTCTGAGATTCAGAATTCATCCTGTTGCTATAAATGCTGATATCGCCAAGATGTATAGGCAAATTAGAATATCACAAGAAGACTCGGAATTCCAAAGAATTGTATGGCGGAATGATCCTCATGATAAAATAAAGGACTATCGGCTAGAAACTGTCACTTATGGGACTAGTTGTGCACCATTTTTGGCCACTCGTATCATCAAACAGTTGGCTTTGGATGATCAGAGTAAGTTTCCAAAAGCTAGCAAAATAGCATTGACAGATTTTTATGTTGATGATCTAGTAACTGGAACTTTTTCAGTAGATGAAGGCAAGAATTTGGTGCAAGAACTCTATGGTTTACTAAGTGCAGGAGGCTTCGAACTTCGTATGTGGACCTCCAATGTTCCTGATGTTCTGTCACTTTTACCAAATCATTTAAGATCCACAAACACAAATATTGGGTTTGAGGAATCCAAGGAATTTGTCAAAGTTTTAGGCCTTCAATGGCAACCAAGAACTGATGGTTTCACATTTAAGGGAATAGCTCTGCCACTGAACTCTATGACAAAACGAGGAATACTATCACAGGTTGCTAAAATATTTGATCCACTGGGTTGGATCTCACCATTTACGACCACTATTAAGCTGATTTTGCAAGAACTTTGGAAGTCTGGTTTGGAATGGGATGACCCAATTCCAGAGGAACTAAGAAGGAAGCTGACTTTGATAAACCAGGATCTTCCATCGCTAGAGCACATTCAGATCCCAAGATGCGTGGTACCAGGTAATTTTATGAAGGTAGAATTTCATGGGTTTTGTGATGCATCACAGAAGGCATATGCTGCATCTCTGTATCTAAAGGTGATCCTCTCAAACACAAGCGCTAAGACATTTCTCTTAGTGGCAAAAACAAGAGTCGCACCTATGAAGGTGGTTTCACTTCCAAAGTTAGAATTATGTTCTGCTCTACTTTTGGCAAGATTAGTGAAAACTGTATATGATAACCTTCCTCTTACCATCAATGAAATATATTTATGGTCTGATTCTACTATAGCCTTATGGTGGATTAATTCCGAGCCGTGCCGATGGAAGACATTTGTGGCAAATCGAGTTGCTGAGATACACCGGCTTGTCTCCGGGGTTTGGTGCCATGTTGATGGAAGGCAGAATCCAGCAGACTGTGCATCACGAGGAATATTTCCATCCGACTTGGTAGAACATCCACTATGGTGGAATGGGCCACCATGGCTAATTGAACCTGCCCTTGAGAAATTAAGAAATTCATTAATAGCTCCAAGGAAGAATTTAAAGAAGAAGAAAAAATCAAGACGTATTTTGGTACAATTGAGTATGAAATTCCATCCATTATGATTAACCAAACTGAAATGTATTATAGCTTGGTACTTGAGATTTGTCAACAACAGTCGAATGCCTTCACATTCAAGGAACAGGGAGCCCTTAACATTAAGAGAGTTGAATGATGCTCTCTTGACAGTTGTTAAGTGTGTTCAATCTATTAAATTTTCCAAAGAAAAGCATTGCCTGTTAAGCAACAAGTCAATCCCGAATAAGAGTAGAATATACAATCTATGTCCCTTTTTGGATTCAAGGGGAATCATTAGAGTTGGCGGACGATTAAAAAATGTAAATGTTTATGGTGATCGGATCAATCAAGTTTTACTTCCAAGATCACATCATCTTACCACTCTTATTGTAAACAATGTTCATGTCCATAATCTTCACTCATCAACTCAAGCTACGCTTGCAGCAATAAGAAATATATTCTGGATACCTTCTGGAAGAAATGTTGTACGGAATATTTTAAGAACATGCATGAAATGCGCTAGATTTCGTAAAGAAGCTCCTTTTCAATTAATGGGAAATCTACCTTTTGCAAGGATCAACAGATCAAGGCCGTTTTTGGTAACTAGAATATATTTTGCAGGACCTTTTCTGATTAAACGGAACATGGGACGTACAACTTCAACCATGAATTCTTACGTTGCCTTGTTCATATGTTTCAGCACTCGGGCCATTCATCTAGAATTAATCAGTAGTCTGACCACAGATGCTCTCATATCCACAATAAGAAGGTTCATTGCTCGAAGAGGTAAACCAGCAACAATTCATAGTGACAACGCCACTAATTTTGTTGGTGCGCATAAGATTATTGGGAAACTATGTCTCAATGCCAGTAAAGTTCTTACGAATTCAGAGGAAATTCAGTGGAAATTTATTCCACCATTAGCTTCACATTTTGGCGGACTTTGGGAAGCCGGAGTTAAGTCCATGAAATATCATCTTAGAAGAACAATGGGTAGTGCTTTGCTAAATTTTGAAGAACTAACAACATTGTTAGACCAAATTGAAGCTTGCCTGAATTCGCGACCTCTTTGTCCTCTTTCTGAGGACCCTGAAGATCTACAGGCATTGACTCCTGGTCACTTCTTAATAGGTGGTTCTTTAACAGCGCTTCCCGATGAAGATGACATCATAGCAATGAGTTTGCCAAATAGATGGCAATTAATTAAAAAATCAATGAATCATTTTTGGACAAGATGGTCGAAAGAATATGTGTCTCAACTTCAACAAAGATCCAAATGGTGTAAGCCCCAACCCAACATTAAGGAAGGATCCCTGGTGTTGATAAAGTATGAACAACAACCTCCACTAGCATGGAAGATTGGAAGAATTTCAAAGGTGTTTCCAGGAGATGACGCTAGAATCAGAGTGGTGGAAGTCAAGACTGCTAATGGGACTTACAGAAGACCTATTGTAAAATTATGTTTGTTACCTATATAATGTTTTTTGATGGTCCCCCATCAAGTTGGTGGCGGGAGAATGTTTAATTTAGTTAGAATATATATGTTTATATATAAAGGTTTAATATAATTTTTCTATGATTCTGTAAATATTCATTGAATTTATCATCATCACCTTTTTTGTTTACAAAAAAAATGTTATATGAAAAATAAAGTAATGTAATTGAACGAAATGGTTGCCCTCATGTTTACTGATCCAATGTTTTAATAATCTAAGGTTTATGTTGTAAGAAAATTATACATTGAGAAGAATTATACAACACCTATCCTATACTTTGAATTCAAAAATATGATGATATTATATTTGATAGTTTTCTTTTCGGTCATATAATTTGAAACAATATTCTCCTTTTTTAGATGTAATTGGGGCAATATTAAATATACCAAATATGTTAAACCTGATTCTGATTTATTCATATAATATGAATACTAGTAATATATCTCTCTATATATAAAAGTCAATTTCTGTCTGTCTGTTTCGCGATAAACTCAAAAACTACTGAACCTATTGGTACCAAATTTTGCATGTCGCTTTTTATAAACCTGAGGAAAAATTTCGGCTACATTTTGCTTAGTATTTTTGGCTATTTCTTTTTTCATTTGAAGAACTTTTTTTACGCGGAGTAAATACGAGGCTTACGCGGAGTAAATACGAGGGAAAATAACAACACGAGGCCAATTAAGCGAAAAATGAGCGTTCTGCATTTCTTTTCAAGTTGTTTGCGTACTTTTTTTAAAATATATTTTTATACGAGTGTCACTTTTTTCTACAAAAGTATTGAGAGAGAAATTTATATTACTAAGTTAAGGTAAGTTCAAACAATGCGAAATTTCACACAATTAAAAAAAAAAACTTTACAAAATTAGCGTTACTGTATGTAAACACACACACACACAAGCCTTTTTATTGGGGCATCCAGCCCTATACATGATTCCCCTCTACAGGATTTAGCAAAGGAAGATGTTTCAAAAGTAAAAACTAGAATACAAGAGGTAATAAGGAAAAAGAAAAGAGAGAAGAAAGAAAAAAAAACAAACAAAAATAAATATAACCATATATACAAAAAAATAAACATACAGAGCAAAAGGAACCATACATGATTAAATATTTAAATTAAAATACCAATGTTTAGGATATGTCAAGGTTAGGATATCATTGAGAGGGCTAGTGTGAAATCAGCCGCGTTCAATCTTCGCCTTCTTCCTCCAAGCAAACCACGACATTCGGCGAATCCATTATTCTCCAACGGACATTGACTGCGGCCTTGTAGAATTTATATAAACCGAGGGAGAGACCCTGATCAACCATCAGTGTGTTCATCCAGCTGCAAATTTGTTGGCAGTCAGGTTGAGACCAGGGTAAGTCACCCAAAATTTCTTTCCTCTGTTTCTCTAAGCAAGAGCATCCAAATATTATATGCATAATTTCGTATTGGATTCTGTTTTTACACAGATCGCAAGTTAGAGTCAAATCAATCTTCCAGCGCTTTGAACGATTTTCTGGGAAGATCGTCCATAGGAGTCTCAGTACTGTATGTAAACAATGGCTTTCTTATTTTTTATTAATTTTTGTTCTGGCCTTTGTTTTTTTTTTACAGTCAATATGATAATTCTTAAAATTAAACAAACAATAGTCAATATGCAAAAAATACAGTAGTGAAAATTTAATATGAATTACTGTCTCATTTAACAGCCAAAACATGTGTTGTGTCTATAATCCATATACCCTTTGGTTTTTATCAGCCTAAAATATTAACATGGCTATTTTGGCATTAGTTTTTTTTTTAGTATTATTATTTTTTTCTGACATGTTGATAGGGCACTACATTTTACAAAGTTAGGGTTAGTAAACAATGCAGATTTGACAATATTTACAAACTTTTATTACTGTATATAAACAATGGGCTTATGTTTTTTAATTGTTGTAATGGCCTTTGTTTTGTTATTCTTTTAAAAAAAGCATATGTTTCATTGATATTTTTAAATTTAGTCTGTTGTTGTCATTTATTTTATTCGCTTGCCATTTCTGTATATTTTGTTTGTGGTAGTTCTATTATGCTGCTTTCTTTTTGTCTACGCAGATATTAGGTTAGGGAAAAAAATAGTTGAGCATTCTAAAGATTGACCTGTTTGACATGTTTTGCCATTAGTTTTTTTAGCCGTATTTTTTTTTCTGCTGAAATGTTGAGAGAGAAATTTGTTTTAGTTACCAAGTTATGGTTAGTGAACAATGTAGTTTTGATATTTACAAACTTAAAAATTTCTACTAGATAATCTGTTTTGTTCTGTAACTTATTCTGATACTTTGGATTTGTTTTGGGTCTGCACTGTTTTCCTTAAAAGCTTTTTTTTTATATATACAAAAATATTTTTGGTACTGATTGTGCTATTTCTGTTTTTTAGAACATATTTTCAAATTGAATCATCCCACTTGATATGCCTGGCAATATGCGACGCATGGCTGCCCGAGCTGCTAGAGGCCAAAGTAGCCGCACATTGGAGAATCCCCAACAGTCTCAAGCCCGCCTCCAAAGTGACCGGCTGCGCCACAGAGTTCAACGCGCATCAGAGAATCCCCAACAGTCTCAAGCCCGTCTCCAAAGTGACCGGCTGCGCAACAGAGTTCAACGCGCATCAGAGACTCCCCAGCAGTCCAAACACGACAGGAGGCTGACCAGCTGCGGTATTTCAGGCAACGAGCTAGCACTTGGGCTGATATGCTCAATGCTGCTTTCCATTACAATCCGGCCCTGAATTATGAACAATTTACTTTTCTTCAGATTGGCCATATGGATAAACAATGTCTGCATTGTACTGCCTTTAAGTACAATGGTGAGCGGCCTGGAATGTGCTGTTTTGCAGGGAAGGTCAGAATTCCTGATTTACCTGAACCCCCAGAAGCTCTCAGAACTCTGCTCGATGGGTCTTCTCCTCACTCGGCTGAGTTCATGCAACGTGTCCGTTACTATAACAATGCCATCCAAATGACATTTTTTGGGTGTGGTAGTCGTGTTGTGTTGCCAGGTAACATGCCAACGTTTAAGGTAAAGGCCAGATCTATCATAGAATTGGCTCTGTTTTGCCACCACTCAACTTTGATAGCCGCCAACTACAGCCAGCATTCCTTCAAGTTTTCTTCATCGGAGATAGTAGCGCAGAGGTTGCCACCCGCCATAGAAACTTTCCCATCACTAAGCCCCACATTGTTAGCATTTTGCAAGATATGTTGCATCGACATAATCCTTATGTCCATTTGTTCAAAGCTTCCATAGAAAAAATGCCTTCTCCTGATTACAAGTTGGTCATTAAGGCTGACAAAGCACCGCCTGGACACCATCCTCGCACATTCAATGCTCCAACCATTAATGAGGTTGCCATTGTTATTGTGCAGGAAAACTGTGACAGATGTGACATTGTTCTTTCCAAAAGAGGCAGTGGTGCGCAGAGGATTAACGAGTTTCACAGGTATTATGGCGCCCTGCAATACCCATTGGTTTTTTGAAATGGTCAAGACGGTTATCATTTCCATATCCCTCAGCTGATTGATGGGGTTCCTTCGGCGCACAAGACGGTTTCTTGCATGGATTTTTATGCTTCACTGCTAATGATTCGTAGCCGTAAACCTGGCATAACAAATTGGTTACTGACTTTTGGAGATTTGACCCATCAAATTCTGGTCGACATTTATGCCAAGAGGTGGAATCTGAAAGGCTGCATTACATCTCAGCGCATCAAGCTCAACTTCGTGCAACCGAATACATCAATCTGTTAGATGCTATTCGCACTGACAGGAGTCATGCCCTTATTGAAAGACAAGTTATTCTTCCTTCTTCCTTTGTGGGCAGTCCAAGGCACATGCATGAGTATGCCCAGGATTGCATGGCTTACGTCCGTAAATATGGTCGCCCAGACCTTTTTATTACATTTACATGCAATCCTGAGTGGCCTGAGATAAAACTAATGCAATTCCCCACCCAAGGTGCATTTGTTCGGCATGACTTGGTTGCTCGCATTTTCAATATAAAGTTACCAAGCTTATAGATTTGATCACCAAAGGTGATGTTTTTGGCAAGCCCCAATGTTGGTGTTATACAATTGAATGGCAAAAGCGAGGGCTACCACATGCGCATATTTTATTGTGGCTTAAAGAAAAGATTCGCCCAAACCAGATTGATTCGATCATTTGTGCTGAAATCCCCAATGAGGAGGTTGATGCTTCACTGTTTCGGACTGTAACCAAAAATATGATTCATGGGCCATGTGGACATGGGTATCCTAATCCTGGCTGCATGGAACGGGGTAGATGCCAAAAGAAATATCCACGGCTACTCTTGGCTGAAACGCAGACAGATAGGGATGGCTACCCATTGTACAAACGTCGCAGGCCTGAGGAAGGTGGCTTTCTTTTGTTAAAAGAGTGAGAGTTTTCACCATTGAGAATGGTGTTCAGGTTGTTCGCATGACTAATGTTACCATTGATAATAGGTATGTTGTGCCATATTCGCCTCTTCTATGCAGACTATTTGATGCTCACACCAATGTGGAGTCCTGTGCTTCAATCTCTGCTATAAAATATATCTGCAAATACATATACAAGGGTTCAGACCAATCCATTTTTGCAGTTACTGGTACTCAAACAGAGTCTAATGAAGTGCTAGAGTACCAACATGGTCGATATATTAGTAGCAATGAAGCTGTTTGGCGCATTCTGGGATTCCCTATTCACAGACGCCATCCAATGGTTCAACATCTCTCTGTACACTTGGAAAATGGGCAGCGTGTATATTTTACTTCTGCTAATACTACACTACAGGCTCGCCGTCCACCTAAGACCACGTTGACAGAATTTTTTGTCCTTTGCCAGCGCGATAACTTTGCAAAAACACTTCTCTATGTTGAAGTTCCTGTTTACTACATTTGGTCTGCTTCTAAATCATGGCAGCCTCGAAAACAAGGCACTCGCATTGCTGACCAAGTTGCTTTTGCTTCTGATGCTATTGGCAGAGTCTACACCGTTCATCCAAATTTTGAGGAATGTTTTTTATCTTCGCATGCTGCTTCATAGTGTTCGTGGTCCGACTTCTTTTGCAGCCCTCAGAACAATCAATGGTGTGCTCTGTCAAACATATAAAGAGGCATGTCTGCATTTGGGATTGCTTGAGAATGACCAGCAATGGCATCATTGTATTCAGGAAGCAGTGCTAAGTGAGTCTCCTTTAAAAATCCGGGAACCTTTTGCTATTATTCTTACCTGCTGCCACCCTACCAACCCTCAAGATATCTGGGCACAATTTAAAGAACCAATGTCTGCAGATATTCTGAATCTTGCCAGACAGCAAGCCAATGACGGTCTTTTACAGCTGACATACGAAATATCAAATCGGGCTTTAATACCTTTAGAACAAAAAGCTCTGCAAATGACGGGTTTCCATTTGACAAAGTTTGGCATGAGGTCCCCACAGCGCAATGTTACTCAACGAACCAGTCATGAACTTTTAAGAGAAACATCGTATGATCTCAGCAGGTTACTACAATTTGTGGCTTCGAATGAACCGAAACTTGCCAATGTCCCTGAACAAAAGGAGGCTTACAAAAGGATCCTTTCTAAAATTGATTTCAATGCTGGCGGATTGTACTTTCTTGATGCTCCGGGGGGCACAGGAAAAACTTTTCTGATCAATCTTCTTCTTACAAAGGTACAAAGTACTGGGGACATTGCTCTTTCTACAGCTTCTTCTGGTATTGCGGCTACTCTGTTGAATGGTGGCAGAACTGCTCATTCGACTTTCAAATTACCCTTAGATTTGACCAGGGATGAGGTACCAGTTTGTAATTTGAATGCTGATTCCGCAATGGGCGAAGTTCTTAGACAATGCAAATGTATTGTCTGGGATGAATGTACTATGGCACACAGGCATGCTTTAGAGGCAGTTGACATAAAACTTAAAGATTGTAGGCAGGATCAGAGACCAATGGGAGGTGTAGTGTTGTTGTTGGCCGGTGACTATAGGCAGATATTGCCCATTATTCCTAGAGGTACAATAGCAGATGAGTTGCATGCTTGCTTAAAGGAATCCCCACTTTGGTCATTTGTTGAAAGACTTACTCTTTCAACAAATATGCGGGCTGTCAATTAAGGAGATCCTAACTCACTGTTATTTTCACAATTTTTGCTTCAACTTGGAAGTGGCCAACTTAATGATACGGATGGTAATGTTAATTTTTCAAATGAATTGGTTAACACTGTTGTGTGTGTGTGACTCCCTCTCTGGTCTAAAGAAAAGTGTTTTTCCTAACATTGGGGAGATGTTTAACCGGAGAAGGGCGAATTACTATCCTTGGCTTTGTGAGCGGGCAATTTTGGCTCCAAGGAATTGTGTAGATGATGCCATAAATGCTCAGCTTTTGAAAGAAATACCAGGACAAAGCATTTTATATACTTCTGTGGATTCCACCATTGATGCTGAGGATTGCGTGGAATATACAACAGAGTTTTTAAATTCTTTAGAACCTTCTGGGATGCCACCACATCACTTAGAACTTAGAGTTGGTGTTCCCATTATTTTATTGAGAAATATTGATGCACCCCGCCTTTGCAATGGTACCCGTCTCTGTGTTAAAAGATTGTGTCCTCATGTGGTAGAGGCAACCATTTTGACTGGTTGTTTTCAAAATGAAGAGGTTTTTATTCCACTGATTCCTCTGATTCATGATGATAAACATTCTCCTTTGTATTTTAAAAGATTGCAGTTCCCCATTCGAGTTTCTATTGCCATGTTGATTAACAAGGCTCAAGGTCAGTCCCTCAAAATTGCTGGCATTGACTTGGAGCAACCCTGTTTCTCGCATGGGCAATTGTATGTTGCCTGCTCTAGAGTTGGCTCAGGAAGAAATCTTTATGTTTTGACTCCAGAAAATAAGACTTCAAATTTTGTGTATTCTTCTGTGTTGTCATGAATAATTTTTTTTTAAATGCTATTTTAGTCTTTTTTGTTGTTGTTGTTTGAGTGATATATTATTTTCATAATTCTTTCTATATACATATATTTAATTAAAAAGGCATATACTGGATCAAAAAATTATTTATTTTACCAATATTTCAGCTGGCTGAACGCCAACCTTTATCAAGATGTTATAACATTTTAAAGTGTGTCAACAACAAACTCAGCGCCACATAACGTCAACAGCATTAAGTTTTTAAAATATTTTGTTATTTCAAATTTTAAATATTAAAAATTAAAAATATTTTAAAAACTTAATGCTGTTCACGTTATGTGGCGCTGAGTTTGTTGTTGACACACTTTAAAATGTTATAACACCTTGATAAAGGTTGGCGTTCAGCCAGCTGAAATATTGGTAAAATAAATAAGTTTTTGATCCAATATATGCCTTTTTAATTAAAGATTTATCTATGGATTGCTCTCTTTTCAAAATATACGTATATATTTGATGACGAAATATTGATGCACCCCGCCTTTGCAATGGTACCCGTCTCTGTGTTAAAAGATTGTGGCCTCATGTGGTAGAGGCAACCATTTTGACTGGTTGTTTTCAAAATGAAGATGTTTTTATTCCCCGGATTCCTCTGATTCATGATGATAAACATTCTCCTTTGCATTTTAAAAGATTGCAGTTCCCCATTCGATAATGGACTCCCTACAAACCATCCTAATCAAACATAAAAAAGCATACCCGGACCACCTTGCAATCCTGAAACTTACCGAAATCTGTTTAAAGAGCACAACAGTTAAATTTATAGGAGAATACTACAACCAAATAAAAGGCACACCGATGGGAAGCCCACTCTCTAAAATTCTAGCAGAAATAGTTCTCTCCACCATTGACTCATGGATCACTGTAGCAAAACCCAACGAAATATTGATCTGGTCAAGGTACGTCGATGATATCTTTTGCATAATCACAGAAAACAATGAAAATCACCTCCTAGAAACCCTCAATAGCTTTAACTCATCTATTCAATTTACAATATAAAAATAAAATAAAAGAAGCCTGCCATTCCTTGACATTTTTTTACCAGAAATAGAACCGGTTTTACAACAAAAGTTTATAGAAAACCTACCTCCCCAACGCAGTACCTATATTTTGCCTCCAATTCTCCCATCTCCCACAAAATAACAGTTGTACGTACCTTGACGAAAAGAGCCTTCACCCACTGTTCATCAAAAATAGAATACAATAATGAACTTAATTTTATCGAAAACCAGCTTCTTAAATCTGGATACCCGCTTCCTTTCATTAAAAGAAATAGATATAAACCAGGGACTCCCAGAAATAACTCCAATCATTACATCTCCACCTGTTACTTACCATATACAGAATCTACAATTACAATAGCCCGCAAACTTAAAAGTTTTGGCATAAAAACCATCTTTAGAGGTTCACCTTCCATGGCCTCGATTCTAAGAAACCCAAAGCAGCGACCAGAAACAGAAAAAAGATTTAGTTTACCAAATTCTCTGCCTCAACTGCAATAGTGTCTACATCGACGAAACATCAATAGACCTTTCAATCAGAATCAAAGAACACCAAAGAAGCATTTCTAAACTAAACCCAAACTCTTTAATAGTCGACCACGTCAGAGAAACCGGACACACTCCAGACTCCAATAACAGTAGAATCCTCCATACAAATGCCAAAACTAAAACCCAAAGACTCATTCTTGAAGCAATAGAAACCATGAAGCACCCTAAACCATTAAACAAAAGTATACAGTTGCCATCACAGTACGTTCCCCTTCTATCCTAAACATCTTCAAAAGCCATATAAAACAATAGCCATTCTATTTTTGTCTCCACTAAATCCTTTGAACTGTTTATAGTTGATTCTTTATATTTATTCAATTATGTAAATTTTTTTTAAATATTTTTTGTACTATATATTTACATAGATTCTTCCTTAAAAACGATATATAATCTCTCTCTCGCTTGCCTTGTTTGTACACTATAGTTAGCTGAAGAAGGGCTTGCCTGAAAGCTTCCTTAATCGCGTTAATAAAAAGAGTTGCGGCGATATATGATTCCCTCTTTTCTAAATTTCTATTGCCATGTCGATTAACAAGGCTCAAGGTCAGTCCCTCAAAATTTCTGGCATTGACTTGGAGCAACCCTGTTTCTCGCATGGGCAATTGTATGTTGCCTGCTCTAGAGTTGGCTCAGGAAGAAATCTTTATGTTTTGGCTCCAGAAAATAAGACTTCAAATTTTGTCTATTCTTCTGTGTTGCCATGAATAAATCTTTTTTTAATGCTATTTTAGTCTTTTTGTTGTTGTTGTTTGAGTGGTATATTATTTTCATAATTCTTTCTATATACGTATATATTTGATGACAAAATATTGATGCACCCCACCTTTGCAATGGTACCCATCTCTGTGTTAAAAGATTGTGGCCTCATGTGGTAGAGGCAACCATTTGACAGGTTGTTTTCAAAATGAAGAGGTTTTCATTCCCCGGATTCCTCTGATTCATGATGATAAACATTCTCCTTTGCATTTTGAAATATTGCAGTTCCCCATTCGAGTTTCTTTTGCCATGTCGATTAACAAGGCTCAAGGTCAGTCCCTCAAAATTGCTGGCATTGACTTGGAGCAACCCTGTTTCTCGCATGGGCAATTGTATGTTGCCTGCTCTTGAGTTGGCTCAGGAAGAAATCTTTATGTTTTGGCTCCAGAAAATAAGACTTCATATTTTGTGTATTCTTCTGTGTTGTCATGAATAATTTTTTTTAATGCTATTTTAGTCTCTTTTTTTGTTTTTGTTGTTTGAGTGGTATATATTATTTTCATAATTTTTTCTATATACGTATATATTTGTATATATTTGAAAGGTAAAATCTCTAGAATTAGAATATTCAAGGACAGTTGCAGATTATTATGATTTATATTAATATTAGTTTTTTTTTAATTATTTTTCAGAAAAACATCTACGAATGTTTGACTGGGGTCTGAAAACATTAGATTACAGGCTGCTGGCTAGGCTTGGTCAATCACGGTCACTCTTCTCAAGCAATTTCAATCCTTATCACTTTTTACCCAAAGAGTGTAATAGACCTACAGAGGATGCACCACTATATATAAGAGTTAACACGCTGGGGCGGGTACCTCGGAGGTTGGGTGGAAAATCTGCCAACTATTTGAACTATGTATTACTTCGGTGTTGCTATTCTATGGCTCTAATACTATTTATTAGTAATGTTCTTTCAGTATGAAGGAAATTGCACTCGGGGGAATTCCGGGCGAAGCCAAGTCATTCGTCTAGTATATATATATGATGTAATTCTACGTGTGAAAAAGAATTAGCAGTCGTTTGTGGCTGTCTCCACCTCAATAATCATCTCTTTATTTTTTTCAAATCTTTTTAAACAAAACAAAAATTTACATACACCATTTAGTTAAATCTTCAGTAAAAAAAAACAAAATAAAATTTACATTCTATCATTCAAAATGTATCACTACCCCCCACAAAAAAAAAATGTATTAATTTTTTTCTCAACGGAGGTTGGGAGGGGATGGAAGGTAAAGGATAAGATACATTGCAAAAAATTATATTACACAAGTAACCATATTGTTAGGGGTAAAAGGCGACCAAAGCCTGTTAGTTGGGGAAAATCACAGGAAAAGGTGGCCATACAAAACCTAACTAACAATAGGCAGGAAAAAAATGATATAGACATTACATGTCTATGGAGACACTCTCCATGTAGAATCCCATTCCAGGGCAACTTTTTTGTTATTTTCCCGAAACCGGCAGTAGTTTCTCCAGGGGCTTTGTGGGGTGATCTGGATTTTTTTTTCTTTAATGGAAGAGAATAAAACCTGAGGACTATCGGTGGAAGCTTGCTTGTTAGGTTCGATACCCAAGCATCCTTCCAAATCCTCTTCTTCCTGAAATGGGAATGGTGGTTCAGTATTATCTTCAGTTACCGGATCCCAGAGCTTTACTTTAGAAATATTAACTATTGTTGCATGCTTATTTTCGGGTTGGCAAGGCTTATCTATTTCTATGGTTTGTGGTGAGGGTATGGAAATTATGGTGTATGGTTCTGGATAAAAGGCTGGCATGAGCTCACCTTGACCTGATTGGTAAGGGATCTTATAAAAGACCTTATCCCCTATTTTTAGATTAGGCGTTTTATGGGATTCATTATATCTTTTTACCAATTTAAGATGTAATTTTTCGGTATTTTCATTTGCAATTTTCCTAGCCTCTTCTATGGGTGGATATGCTCTTGTTAATTTATTGATTAATGATGGCGTTATGCCAAAAAGCAAATAAACGGGAGGCATTTTAGTTATGGAATGAGGAATACTCCGATATTCTTCTAAGGCCTTTTGTAATAATTTGGGCCATGGTATTCTGGGATTTTGTTGATGGTGAAGTCTAAGTTTTGAGATAATTGTCGCATTCGCCCTCTCTACAAGCCCATTACACTGTGGGTGCGAAGGGGATGTCATCCCGTGTTTTATGCCCTTTTCTTGTAGAAATTTGTTAAACCTTTTGGACACAAATGAGGGGTGCCTATCAGTAACGATAATTTTTGGTTTACCTACATTTAATAGCTGATTTATTATATTGATGTACGTTGCTATAGACGTACTCTTAGAAGGATAAGCCCAGATGTATCTTGAGTGATGATCAACTATCACATGAAGACAATTCTTTGTACTGTTATAATCCCCTAATCCTAAAATACTGTCAAGGGCAACTACATCAAATGGTTTCTCAGCTAGTGGTGAATTACCCATGAGTCCATACGAAGGTGTAGTTGGCTTCTTTACAGACTGACATATTTTACATCTCAGAATATAATTTTTTATTTGTCCTATCATTCCTTTGAAATAATATTGTGTTGAGATAACTCTAGCCATTGAACTTATGCCGGGGTGTCCTAAACTTTCGTGAGCCCTACTTATCAATTGTTGTTGTAAGGAGGGTGGTACTATAATCCTATCTCTATTTTTTAGCCTAATATAAGTAATACCGTTTTAAATGAAATATAGTTTAGATGAAGGCTTAAGTAATGATGTTTGTTCTTGTTCTATATTTTGAACAGTTAAGAAGCAGGTATATGGCAGTCGAGACAACATGTCGGCTTCATGATTCTCACATCCCTTATTATGTGCTAAAGTTACTGGCGAACTATATGGAGAAGAAGCATGCCTAATAATCCCATATTTTAATAATTGCCTAATTTGTTCCTTAATTATTTCGGTGTCCCTGGGATTATGTCGATAAGGTCTGAGACAAACAGGAGTTTTATCTTTGAGTCTTAACCTGGGGGGAATCTATTTTTAATGGTCTAATATTATATTTGTTTTCACCAAAAATATCATTATAGCGACTTAATAAAATGTAGAGATTATTCTTAAGTTTGCCATCATTATTTAATAGCTGTCTTCTAGATTTGGCAAGGGTAAGGGTCGAAAGTTTGGTTGGTAAACGAGTTTAGATTTAAAACAAGAGGGGACATTTATGTTATATTGATCAATAGTTTTATCTAAAAGAGGTAACTTTTTTATGTGATTACATTTTCCTGAAAGTTTTAAACAATAATTATGTTTTTTACAATATTTAACATTATTAGAAACACCAAAATATTTTTTTGAGTTATCACAATATTGCAAAGCATTGAGTTCATCTTTAGAAAATGTATATTGAAATTTGGATAAAAACACATTATTTTGCATAATAACATTCTCATCAAAATCAATCTTTAGGTTAAAATATTTCAGGTACTTAGTGGATACTATCAGAAAATTCAAATTTGGATTATCAATAATATAGAACAACATATTGTTAGTTATATCTCCAATTCTAATCGTTAAACAAATTTGTCCAAATATTCCAATACGGTTAGATACAGTGCTAATCAAATTAGGTGTGTTTGTGTGTTGTTGGCCAGAGTTATTTATCTTATCTAAAAGGCATTCAGGTAATAGGTGTACGGAAATAATATTAATGTCACTGCCTGAATCAAAAAGTACTAAATAGGTTCCCAAGAGTAATGAATATACCCCAACGTCACTCATCACTCCTGAGCACCATCATTGTTGCCCTACATTACCTCGAAAGTCTTGGTAAAACTGCTTTCGCCGGGTTTCTTGTCGGTCACCAACCTCTCTGCTGGAGCGGGCACCTGAAGGAAGAGAATCCTGTGAAGGCGCTGCATTCCTTGAGTCGATATTTTGAAAGTCCCGTCGATATCTGGGGCCATTAAAGGGTGAAGATGTCTCTTCCTGTCGAAATCCTTCTTCCAGGGAGGATGCAATCTTAATCCACATGTCCAGATTAGCTGGATTGGCATCGATCAAAAATGGTCTCAGCTTTGCGTTTACATTCGAAGAAAGCGCTTCCAGGGTCTGCTCCGAACTTATATTCAATATTTTTGCCAACTTCAGTTTATCAAAGTAGTAGTCCATAAGGGGTTGCGATGGCAGCTTCTTTTCAGTCCAAAACTGCCTCATCAATCCACTTGTCGATACCGGGAAAAATGTATTCATAGCTTGGTGAAGTTCATCCAACGTAAACACGTCCTGGCAC